CTAACTTTTGGTCTTGCGCTGAGGACAAACCGACCTTATCAAACTGGATGAGCTGGAAGAAATCATTTATTCACTACCTGGAAATACTGCCTGTTTGGAATCCTATGATTTCACTTTCGGAATCCCACAACATATGACTATTCAGACAAGTGCTGGGAGATGAAGGTCAGCGAAATTATGATGCACTATAATTGGAATATTGTGACACTATTACATCGTCCGTGGATAAATATACCACATTGTGGGGTTGAAGCAGAATATTTATACTACGAGACACTATTTTTCACAGATTGTACAGAAACCGAACGAGAGCGTCAACAGCTTCATTGCACACATCCATCAGTTTGCTCCCGAGTGTAAATACAATGAAATTTCGCCCGACAAATTGGAAGAAGAAATGAAAATGTAGTGCTTAATTACGGGGATTCTGGACGAAAGCGCACGAGAAACATTGTTATCTTCGCATGAGCAAGATACCAGTGGGAAAATGCTTGTCTAATTGTTCTCCGACGGCAGAATTTCTCGCACCAGCTACCTAAATTCAATGCCCATCCAGTCGTCGTTGCTGCACACGTGGATACTAAACCACCAACTCCAGGTGAACCTCGAAAACACTTCGTGTGCTATCGCTGCGGGATGCAACATGCTCGCGTTTCTGGGTGTCGCCACAAAGAAAGCATCTGCCTAAAATGTGGTAAAATAGGCCACCTAGCCCGCGTGTGCGGATCGGAACCCGCCCCACCAACTAATCTCACTCATTCGGGGCGCCGTGATAAGCTGCCATTTACGGAGAAAAGGCTGCTGGAAGACCCAGACAACCACTTAAACTCCGTCTACTTGAATACCGTATCACCCAACAAGTGCCCGCCACATACGCTTCGTTGATGATCAAGAATGAACCGATCGATTCGGAACTGGATACAAGGGCTGCAGTTACCAATAGAAACGGTGATTTAATTAAAAATCTGTCGCCCTTACAACCATGTGACTCTAAACTGCAAACCCACATGGGAGATCCTAGTAGGGTCTTGGGAAATTGCATGGTTAATTTCAGGCACGGCGAGCGGGAATTAACTCTACCTTTGATCGTGGTACCTGATAAAAGACCAAATCTCTTGGGCAGAAATTGGATCCGATACTTCCGAGAAGCGATACAGACTAATGAGGTGGTAATTATAGACAGCAGTCTAAACGATCTGTTGAATCAATTTTCTTCTGTATTGGAAAATAAGTTAAGAAAGCTGAAACATTACAAAGCTTTCATCAATTTACGGGAGAAAACCAATGCTAAGTTTTACAAAGCTGGAATATTACCGTACGCTATGCGCTCCAAGGTTGAAGTAGAACAATAACGGCTACCATCTGAAGGCATAATCATGCCCGTACAAAACTCGGATTAGGATGCTACAATCGTCCCAGTACTCAAACCCGATGGGTACCGTTCGTATCTGCCAAGACTAGGAGTTAACTGTCACTCAAGCTACCAAGGTGCGAAGGCATCCTTTGCCAAGCATTAAAGATTTGCGCGCTACGTTATCCGGTGGTCAACAATTTTTTAACCTTGATCCTAGTCACGCATATTCCCAGCTGGAACTTGATGAGGACCCACTCGAACTAACCCCCATAACTAAACATTTTGGACTATTTCGGTATACCGTCTTACATTACGAATAAGCTCCGCCCCCAGCATCTTCTAGCGGATTGTGGATGACATCGTGAAGGATATACCCTTTACTTGTGCTTATTTGGATGATATTCTGGTTTCTGGCCGAAGTGACGCTGCACATTTAAAGACACTTCGGTCGGTGGGGCTGTACTAACTAATCACTATCATCAACGGATGAATTCGTTACTATGTATCAATGACAACTTCGGATGAATGCTGCCTCAGTGGTACTTCACATAAGCGCTCCACAATAAAGCCAACATGACAGAAGGGAAAGTGGTAATGACTTGGTCAATTAAACTCCAACCGTCGCTTAACCAGGGATAAGTAATGATCGAACGCTGAGTTTACTAAGTGGGTTTGTAACTGTGAAGTGTGAGGCTGTTTTCAGATAGTAAGAAACAAACTACTTCTCTACATGCCATCAGATTGCAAGTAGTGTGGTGGTGGGTGAAAGATAACAAACCTCTGAAGCAATATGTGAATGATTTACGGAATGTGCCGATTTTGTTGATAGAGCAGTCAAAAATTGCCTTGTAAAGTACGGAAAACTTATCAGTAGTTTGATGGGTTACACACTGGTGTCGAAATGGCAAGTAAAAAAAGAACACCAACACAGATTAGTCGGATAACACCGACTTCATTAAACACTTGACAAAGCGAAAGCAAGTAGCTGTCGAATAACCTGATATACATAGCTGCATTCATGTACTTTAAAATGTGGGATATGGGCTAACCGTGACGGCCACCGACTGCGACGACCGTAAATGAGGTGGTTTCACAATTCGGCCGGTGGCCTGCTAACATCAATCGATCGTATAATTCGATTACACAAATCTGAGAGTAAATACTGCTTGAGCGGCTGCAGATGTCAGTGACGTATATCATCAAACAGTTGAAGCCCTAATCATAATTTCTGCCATAATTGCTGTATTCAGCTTGGGGATAGCACTCAGTGAAAGAGACCACTAGAACATCGCTTGTCCACTATTTTAAGAAACTTTCCTCGGAAGCCCTAAATTCTAGGTGGGAATACATCGTAGGATATGTGAATAATCTGCATCCCCGATAGCTTTCGACAACATGTTATTCCAGTTGTAGGTTTCAAAGCACCTCATCTTTACTCAGCTGGCACTAACTGTTTCCTTAGCCTGCCGTATGAGGCCACTTTCTCTCATTTTGCATCTTTATTTGCCAAAACAACTGGATTAAGCCGAATCTAGCTGTAAGGCTTTGGACACCGATGAAGTATGGCAAGCTCAAGAATTTAGTCAACCGCTGAGCGACACTACTTTCTGCTATACGCGTTACATTTGAACCTGTTGAAGGAGACCAACTCGAGCGAACAGAGCCAAGTGCATTTATATTTGCCACTTCAGATGATCACTTCCGATAGGAGGTTGCTTCGAAGTTGTTTGATTTTTCTTCCTACTGCCGTTCTTTCACATGGACCAAGAAAAGTGAAAATCTTCTAGCCCTGGCGCTTAGTGTGGATTTGCTATCAGGTAACGCACCATGAATTTCGAGTACAGTTAGAATCTAACCCAGCACTTATGCCTCATCTTAGCATATCCGTCCCGCTACTTATTCGACCGAAAAGCAATGATGTGTCAATCAAGGGACCAATTACTTGAATGGAAATGCACACACTTTGCTTTCCGCGTTCTTTCGTTTGTTTCTCTCTGATCATAGATTAAAGCGTTTTCACAATTTTACTGAAACTTGATGAAAACGCTCCCACAAGGGTGTATAAACTTGACTTGATTTGTACAAACGCTGTGTAGTGTACGGACCCAAGTGTCGCGCCTAATACAAGCGAGACAGAGTTGGAGGAGTTAGCTGATACAAGGATAGTTCTCCTGTTCTTTTCTCCAAATGAATATTTGTGACGAGCATGTCACGAAGCGTTCAGACTATGCCAATAGACTTTCTGTTATCTCCAGAAACATCAGTACTCACTAATGGAAGCAAAAGACAATATATCTACGAGTGCAGCAGGTTGCATTATTAGTAGCGCCATGCATAAGTACTAGACTACCACTTGTTGAACACCAGTGATTGTGTTGTGCACAAGTACCGACATGCAAGTCTAACAGTTAATGTTTCACGGTGAACACTACGAGCTGAGCTAGATCTACTCTTACAATGTCATAGTTTCTGCATAATTTTGTTTGCCTATCTCGATATGTGTTGTCTTTTATTACAGAATTCCGGTGGTTAAAAATGTACGGTGGCAAACGAGCAGATTAACATCGACTCTACAATTAATTCTACTTGGTGTGTGTGCTGTCTTAATTGGTCGAAGAGTAGGAGTCAGTCAGGCAAGTTTCCTGATGCTACATCTGACATTAGGTGCTCCGGCTTAACACCATTTTTGTTTGATAGCATTGTTTGCTCTTGATCTATTTTCTGAGGGCCTAGTAATTTCATTCCCTTAAGTTCATTACTCAACTACAGTTTTAGTCACATTCGCAACTCGAGTTACGGAGGTTCTGTCCAGAGTACCTTATTGCCCAGACCATGGTCATACCACCGCAACGGAGTATTGCATGTGGACAGCCGGATTGGGGTGGGTAATCAGACACTACAGGAGACACCACAGGAGCTATATCAAGATAAATATGCAACCCATTGTATCAAGTGAGCATAAACGCTGTCCCCAGGGTGCAGTAAGTGACCTTTGAGGGTAAACAACGCACAGTTAGATGACCGAAACCCCCACAGTTTCACTAACTAGTGGCTGTTGGGTCAACTAGGCTGTCAATCCAAGAAGACATGGATATGTTCCACATTCTAACCTATTTGATCTAACATGTATGATGAATACAAGCGTTGTTAAGGAGTTGCAGTTACTGCATCGTTTCAAACCTTCTTGACTATGTCAAGAACAGCCATAAGTATTGTCCCTCTAGAATAACTTGTTTGACAATGCCTTCAGTTCAATGAAAGATAGCCTAGTTGGTTAAAGGAAAATCCCCACCTTAGAACAAGGTCCATCTTGACGATTAGCAGTGCCAATTTGGAAAGTCAAGTGAAGGAATGCGTCAATCGGGGGCCGTAGCGCAGCATTTGATGGCAGGTTACTGACACGAGCCTAATTTCGGTCGGTGAATTCGTCACCTAATGGGCTGCAAAGATAGTTGCAGCAAGGTTTGCCTCAGAGGGCCACGGTAAAATACCAGAATATTCATCAGTAAGCCTGCTTCGTGAAATCAACTGCCCATCAAGGAACCTGATAAATAGCCCAGCGGTGAGTGCAAGAAGAATCAGCTGAATACGTGAACCGTAGAATGGATTGGAAGATTCGCTACTTAGAAGTATTTTTATGACTTCATAGAACAACGAGTTGAGAATTTATTTTATAGGAACATGTAATTTGACAAAACTGGACTCAAAGTAAAGTACTGTATTATAAGCAACATTGAGCAAACGGCAGTATCATCCTTAAGAGTCTCGGACGTATAATCCAAGAGGCATAGCAGTCGATCAAAATTTCTTTATCCAACATAAGTACTTTCAGCCAACGGCAGTTAGTTAAGGAATATGCTGCTCTTAGTAACGAGGGGGGAACTGGCAACGTTCGCTAAAACAAAAGTTCAACTAGCTTGGAAAATTCCAGAGGTGATAATACTACTCACAGAAGAAGCATAATTGAACCGGTGCGAGTGAATTGTGGTAACAAGGAGTGGAGAGATGAGGTATCCGTGAAACATTTATCTACGAGTGAGAGTGGATGTACATGCTGGAGAATGAGAAATAATATAGCCAGAAACTGAGGATGTTTAGATAACCCCGAGTTGAAGTGTCGCAGGGTGCTTCCGATTTCCTAGGGTAGAACTATCTGTTTTTTCTGGGCTAGGACAATAACTGCGGTAGCTCAGGGATTTAAACATGCTTCGCATGGCTATCAAGAACTGTCGAAGAGTGGTAATTAATTAAACGGCAGGTGTGAAAGTCATGTAGAAGGGCAGAAGGAAAAAGTGTGTCTACGTGTCCCTCTGTCGACTGGCAGTGAGAAACACCCAACATAAAAATACATTGTTTGAGTTACTGAAAGGAGAGGGTATAAGAGACTAAGTTAAATGTTGAAGTGAAAACAATCCGGGGCTCGGGGCATATAAGAACTTACGTCTATGCAGGTTGAGTAAAATCACAGCTTTTAATACTTACCACTTCTGATGCCGATCAAGCAAACGATCAAAAATACAGGGGGGTTGGAATACAGATCACCTGGTTCACAATCTCAGTTCAGGTACTTTGTCTAAGCTTCCAAACACATCCTTTAACTTTCTCTCATATCCGTCAATATTGCGGCGAAGAATGTTTAGGCAAGGCCCTAATAGTCGTTCGAAGCTTCCTACATCCAGAACAGCCAACTTTGTGCGTCCCACAGCATATGCGGATGCCGCTCTCGGATGACTTGTTAGCAGGGCAAGTTCCCCAAAATAACCTCCTTTTTCAATTGCAGCAACCTCTTTCTCTTCCTCCTCTCCGACACGCTTCATTCTGATAGACACTTTGCCTTCTTCGACAAAGTACATTTCGTCCCCGGGATCCCCCTGCTTCAACACTTGTTTTCCATCCTCGTATATGCGTGTTTTCAGGGCATCTGCTATACTCATGCGCTCGTAAGAACTGAGACTTTCTAGAATGGGCACTTGATTGAGTAACTCTTCATACATGCGGCGCTTCTCGAAAGCTTTCTTAAGCACAATGCCACGGAAAACTTCACGTGTCATGGCCCAGACAACACCATCTTCAGTGGCTTGAATAGTTGCTGCCCGAGGAGTGTTGTACATGAGAGCCAGTTCCCCGAATGAACCTTTGTTGTCGTACTGACCAACCTTCTTTTCTTGACCCTCAATTTTCACATATATGTCGTAAATACCTCTCTCAATCACATAAAAGTTGTCTCCATCCTCACCCAAAGTGATCACTTTTTCTCCGGCCTTTACTTTTCGCTCAAACATGGCGTCTATCACGTCCTTCATTTGATCATCGTCCAGACAACGGAACAGTAAAATATCCTTAGTTGCATTGGTCAATCTTTTCCGCTGTTCTTCCGTTTTCGGGTGCACAACTTTAACCGACTGAGTACCGTCATCTTTCTCGGGGTCGTAACTCTCCGCCGCCACACCAGCACGACGCGCCCCTCGTAGCGGAGGCATCGGTGGCATGGGTTCTTCATCGTCATCATCACTGGCAGCACCACTCTTACTCGGTCGGCTATTAGTGGTGGCCTTTTTCATTTGGAGAAAATCAATCGCTGCTTGCACTAAATCCTCCGGCCTCTCCCGAAGTAGTGCCACAGTCAACTCCTGCAACAATTCCCTTAATCCGGGGGGAACGGTAAATTTCTCATGGGTAGGGGCCGGATTCATTTTTCTCGGCGCAACGGTTTGGCAGTTGCGTTATCCGCTTGAAAGCGGTTGGTAGACAGCTCGCCGAAAGACTAGTTGTCCTGGATATTGCTCTGTGATTGGTGTACCTTTCAAGGTTATGATGCTATTGCTTGGGATTTTGTCGACACGCATAGTGGACACACACCGAGCGCGTGTGGAGATTAACGATGAATTGCAGCGATTGCAATGCGTAGGGCTACGAACACACACTACCTTGACACGAGGCACCCGATAGATTAAAGCGTTGTCAGTCGCTCCACTCCACAAAATACGTGTGTACCCGGTATGTGCGCGCACTCTCCAGCTGATTGTGGAGAAAGCGAGCCTGTCTGTATAACAATCGCTGTACTGAAGCAATGTCTCTCGCTCATTGATCGAATCCACTGGTGCCACCTCCAAGTTCAAATGAATCGCGGTTTCCCGATGGTTGTAAGCATGCGGGGTGTAGAGCTGGACAGTCGAAAAGTAACTGCAACAGCAATCGTAAAACTGGTACATAATTGACCAAATAAATGGCGGTTGACTACTTACAAATTGGCCGTTCAAAACACAGGAGGGCTAATGCACCCTAAACATCCTTTACCATGACGAAGTTATGGGACAAGCGTTTAGTAAAGTCAGAAGTAAATGTTGCCCTTCGATATGGCAACTCAATATCGGGACTTGGCACCTGGTCAACACGACACTTTCCGCTGTGAGCTATTAAGGAGTACTCACCTTTAATTTGTCAGATGAAATCAGTAACCCCATAAAGCACCTTCTCTACCATTCCAAGAATGAAGCATCTAAGTGAAGTGTAAGTGTATTACTTTTATCTGCTTCCGCTCAGTCATTTATGATGAACATACAGTATCGGGTGGATAATTTGTATGCTCTTCTTCAATGCAATTAGGTCACACCTGTTCCCAGTTTTACAGCTCAATGAAATCAATAGGACGCCCATAGTAATAAGGTGCACCAGAGGAATGGACCACTTTTTATTGCTACAGTAACGTGACTTATTCTCTCCCTCATTTATATCCTCAAATGAAATTCTGTTTTTATAGGTAATGTGTGTAGTCATGAGACAAACGACTCAGCATGCACTATATGCGTTGTGCATAGAAGGATTGGAGGTAAAGTTTCGTGTCAAATTCTAAAGAGACCATGTTTAATACGCGGGCTTGAATAATGCTGGTGGTGATTTGGTAGGAAAGCGAGAATAGCCACCGGACCTGGAATGTGTCTTTCATCGAACTCTGCTTACAATGGCTTGACTAGTGTAATATTTTACATTCAGCGTCAGAAGATGGAAAGCATTAGGAGTTTCCTTGGGTGTAGCGTGCAATTTGTGGAACAATTCAGCTGCATGTCACGCAGGTGTGCTTCGTACAAATTCAGTTGCATTTCTCATGCAACCTACAAGCCAAAGTAGTTACTTTCTCTCCCAGCAAATTTATCCGGCTTGCTTTTTTCAACATGCGCCAATATTATCAACTGTAAGCCGCCACATGTACGCAGTGAGTCTGTCACCTGCATCTTTTACGGAGCACCATGATTGCAAACGGCAACACATGCAGTTTGAAAGTAGCTGGGTCAGTTTAAAAGCACTCAACCTTGAGTCGAGTCAAACGGTGCCGGTGCAGGGCGATTTCCACTCAGCTGCATTGCCCCGTCAAAACTCTGATGTCGGCAACTTGTAACACTGCCCGGATAAATTTGAAAGTGATTATGGGCACAATAACGAAGCATTGACATACAATTGCAACTGACTGAAGAATCCCGGCTTCCTGCGGTTCTAAGTTATAGACCTCGGGAGAAGTATGAGAACTAGGAGAGATCGGATATGCACCCATAGATCGACAATTATTCACGGACCGGTGTGTTAAATGTAGTTTGAGGTTAGAAATGATTGAGGTTAGTAATGATTTCCTCAACAATAGTAGATTTTATGGTTTTTCTTTCGCGGCTCATTCCATCAACATCATTCATACTTCCCACCGTAAACTCAACCGAGTGTTACATCCCAGTTCCAGATCAGTTTGCAATTGCAAATCCGTGGGAGAAAAGAACGACATCACCAGTTCGTCGGTACACCGCAGCGAGACTTCGCTGCCAGACGAGCATCACAAGTCGCTCGAGGGTCGGATACACCGCAAAGTGGCCCGCACATACGCTAATTTAAACCGATGACTTGATGATCATAACACACGCACACAATTATATAATGCCTTCGGCAGATAATCTGAATGAACTGGTCACGTGCAGACGATGGGTTTGTCAGTATATGATGTCATACCAGTAGTAGTAAATATAGAGACAACTGCTTGTTCTACAAGTAACGGTTTATTTTGCTCAGTCATCTACTGGCGTTTCATTTTTATGTAGAGTGAGGCAGTGCTTTCGCGAACATGTTGATCATGTAGAAAATGCTGCATCTGCAGTTGAAACCACAATACGCCGCACATAACATCACTAGGTACATGCTGTGATATCTCCGATCTCCTCTGGTTACTTGTTGTTCAAATCGCTGTAGGTCGACAAAACAAGTTTAGTTTACTAGGTAAACACCGTTTGGACCCTGATTAAAATTACTTGACTATCAATTGATGTACTCGGCATCCTTTTTATTATTAGCAACAGTACTTCAGCAACGTGACATGATAATTTATCTCCATACAATTACGGTGACGATTGTACTGGAGAGTACTAATAGCTGATAGAGGAGTGTGGCACAAAGATGAAATACCCTGATCAAAATAATGGTCCAAGATACTTGCATTCTTTCACCAGCGCCCGGGCGCAAACAGCTGGCTACCGTATAAAGATAAGGCGGATTTCTTGCGGTTTTTACTGACAATAAGGTAAATTTCTCGTGGTACCGAGAAAGCGAGACCACAAAGGGACGGATCAGATTTACATATGCAACATACCGGGGCTTGCGAGGCTGTCAATGGTTTCGGTGTGTAGGGATGCTTTTGCGAGTTTTTTCATTTGAGACTTTGTCGCCGTATGCTTTCAGTTCGAGGGCATTCTTATTTGATTATTTTCGTTACAGCCTCGTGCTGCCATGATGGTTTGAGGGAGGGGGGGAAGAGTATGAAAAGGATGAAGCGGTTAGAGTCACCAATAAAAATCAGATGAGCAGTACACTATTTTATTTAATAGACAGGAGTAATAGAGTTGGAGCTATTTATGGGTAGCAAGTTAAGGTGTTGCGGAACTTAATAAAAGGATTGTATTAAGGCAACTCCAGTGGATCATCGAAATCAAGTTGCTTTAACAAAAGAATATAGACAGTATTCACATCGTAGGGAGTTAAGACAGCGTGGTGTCTAGACGTTCCTAGGTCTAATTATTGAAATGACCTAATCGAGATGTATATTGGGCTGCTATGTCGTTCAAATGCTGGGTGAGCTCACTTGCATCCCTTTCAGTCTTCACTTGCAGGTGGATATTTAGGACGTGCGTGACTATGCACGTCAAAGGTCATGTTGAATAGGGGGATTAAACAGATGAGTAGACAAAGAATTAAACGCGTGTTCACTGCAAAGTCAGGACCTATTCCACGAGGATCGTAGTCTTGTAAAAGATGGCAAATACAGGGTGATTAGGAATGTGTGCATTACTTAACCGATATTTTGCGTAAATATAGCGGGGAAAGGCACCACAACTAAGATCAAGGATGTGGTCTAAGGAATAAGTTAGTGAGAAACATCGGGAAGACAGTGGGAAGGTAGAGATGAAGCGACAAAGAACCAAGAGTACAACGGATTCAATGCAGAAGGAAGTAGGGTAAGAAAGAAAAACTGAATTAATAGGTTATCCGTGGAATCGTCTCCCGGGGAGCAGCTTCCATGCAGGGTATTCCTTCGGGGAGGTTACACCCGTACGTCCACGCCCCATCTGCTCATGTGTCGGTGTGCTTTAAAAGCACGCTGGATAGTACCGATTTTGTTCATCACTTGGACGATGGTTTTTTGGTGAGCTAGTTATTCAATCCAGTCAGCCCTTTCATCCTTCATAGTTTTTTGCGTGCATGATGACCGGGATCACCGGTTGGTGTCAAATGCCATAAGTGTGAGTTCAGCAGTTCAGATTGAACTGTTTTTTTTAAAATTTCTGCACACCGTTTTTATGCACCAATGGATGTTTTTGCCTGGGTATACATGTTGATTTGAAGCTTCAACCCATCAACTCAGAAGATCGGCCTACTCCTGTCCCGCGTCATAAGCTGTCCTGTTCTACAGGGGATTCAGCATCAGACAGAATCCACATTCAGTCCGCCGCTAAAGTAGGTTGCGAACCATACATTTGAGCAAAGCACAGGATGAGTCAAGGATACTTCAGACAGGAATATGAGAGGAATATAAGAAGCCACTATTTCCCACTCACGTTTCGTTTAGATGCAGTTGCCATCCAACATCTTTTTGACTTGCTAAAATTCTCCAAGGCAACTGATGCCTGAAGGTGTTAAACAAGTACCAAATCTCGCGCGACTTATTCAATGCTGGTTGGTGGGGTTATGTTGAAGCACTCGCTGCGTGAGTGAACTGCGACGCGCAACTTCAAAGTGTACTGCCATTCGCAGTGAAGTGAAACCTGGTTAATTTGTTCGCTTGAATTGCATCTATAGCAGAAGCAAAATGACTATTGCCCGTCAGCGAATATTGTAGTGGGTTCCGACACATCTCTGTGGACACGTAATTGTCGTCCGACAACAACACTGTTTCGCATGCAAAGACAAGCAAAGTCTCCTTGTTAGTTCAAGTCCTCAGATTAAAGAGGTTGAGTCTTATCCGCGTACATGGTTAAGTCTCCTGTTGTGACCTTGTATCCACACGGTAATTCAAGAAAGAGGAAAGCCCCTTTTACCCACACAGATATTGTAAATTTATGAACGCATTTCTAGCATTCGCATTACGGATATTTTCTCAAATGTTACTTGCATATTTCGCCTGATGTAGTTGTCAGGAAAGATGAGTTGAGCGACCAGTCCAGCTATTACTAGCCAAGATCAAGTGTGACATTAAAGGCCCGATGGTTATTCCAAAGCGCCTTAAAATTTCGAAGTGCAATGTGTGTGATTTGATGCAACCAGTAAGTGC